TGCGCTTGCAGCCCAGAAAGCCAACCGTATCCTGGGCCGCATCAAAAGGAGCGTGACCAGCAGGTCGAAGGAGGTGATCCTGCCCCTCTACTCTGCTCTTGTGAGACCTCACCTGGAGTATTGTGTGCAGTTCTGGTGTCCTCAACATAAAAAGGACATGGAACTGTTGGAACAAGTCCAGAGAAGGGCCACGAGGATGATCAGGGGGCTGGAGCACCTCCCGTATGAGGACAGGCTGCGGAAGTTGGAGCTGTTGAGCCTGGAGAAGAGAGGGCTGCGTGGAGACCTCATAGCAGCCTTCCAGTATCTGAAGGGGCCTATAGGGATGCTGGAGAGGGACTCTTCATTAGAGACTGTAGTGACAGGACAAGGGGTAACGGGTTAAAACTTAAAACAGGGGCAGTTTAGATTGGATATAGGAAGGAAATTCTTTCCTGTTAGGGTGGTGAGGCACTGGAATGGGTTGTCCAGGGAGTTTGTGAATGCTCCATCCTTGGCAGTGTTCAAGCCCAGGTTGGACAAGGCCTTGGGTGATATGATTTAGTGTAAGGTGTCCCTGCCCATGGCAGGGGGGGTGGAACTAGATGATCTTAAGGTCCTTTCCAACCCTAACAATTCTATGATTCTATGAATTCTGCATTCTCAAAAAGTAACGTTATTAATGCCCACTTATACGATTCAATACACACACTTCTTAAAAAACACTAGGATTGTATTTTCCTATGGAAAAAGATGAAGCTGCATCATTGGAAAGAGATGAAACACTAACGTAATTTACAAAAAAAGTGCTATGAGAAAGCCCACCTAGTTCCTAGCACAAATTTACATATATAAAATTAAACTAAGATTCACTTAGACAGTATGTTAGCCTACCTCACAAAACACCGGGGTCTTCTCTACCAAAATCGAGCCAGTTTAAAACTGTCAGAAATAAGAAATATTTTAGTCCATGTCTTTTTCTGCTCATACTGATCTTCTGATATTCAATAAGCTTCTTTTGGCTTAATGCCAGAGAGAGAGAAAAATGCTAAAATTTTCCTTTCTTCTGTAAATTTGGTGATTTGACCTGTCAGATCAATTGTTCTTCATGACATTTTGTAAATTTCCCCGTAACTCCTCTTTCCCAAGACTGGCCCTTGGGAAGCTGACCTCTCTTGCACCACATACCGAGACTGGAGAGAGCTCTTCTTACTAGCGAGATTGATTGCACAGTATTCTCAGACTACAGGCTTTTATTCCTGTATGGCTTCCTGAATGGCCTATGGCTTCCCCATCAGCTTACATCTCAATCTAATAGCCCACACTGGCTCAGATTGCAATTTGTATGATTTTGTGTTCTGTCAGCTATTAAATCCAATCTTTCACGTACAGGCAAATACATAAGACTTAAGCTTTCTGAAGCCACCTTACAAGATCTTTTCATAAACACACTGTATGCTGCACAAATTATTCAGATCAAGCCTTCTTTTGTTAGAGACATTCCAATGAGCTCCCAAAAGCAGAGACAGTCTTTGCTGTCGGTATTCTGCTTCTAACAAAAGCAGCTTTGTTCCATCCAAAATGGCCTTGTCATGCATTAGAAGCCTATCTTGGTGTTTCTGGAGAGTTTCCATTAAACATGTTCTAACTCAAAATTCCTAGATATAAGCTTTAAGCAATTTTGTCTGAAGAGATTTATCATTTCAGATTCTTCAGCTCACCAGACTCTGAGCAACCAAAACCACTGATAATTACAGTCATACTCAGATTCTGTATTTTTAAGTAAATGCTGCTTGAAGTAGAGCATAATGGGACACATGCTCGATTTTATTACAATTTTATAATAAAAGGATGTCTTTTGCTACCTTGAAAATGGGAAATAATAGTTCAGAGATACCAAGAGGCTTCTGTTCTAAAATCACGTTTGTTGTTTACACGAATGAGGTTGGAGAAAGGCAGCAGAAAGTTCTGTTACAGTTCAACAGTATTGCATAACTCAGGAAACAAAATATGTTTTCATTTAAGTTTAAAAAAGGAATTATAAATTCTGGTTTTACTCCAAGTTATAAAAACCCAAGTTCTTAAAGCATTAGCCTTTCCAGACAAGAAAGAATAAGATTATAATTTTAGGCTAATGTGGTATTTTTCCATTCTTGCTCCCTACTCCCTCCTCCTCCCTTTAAGGACTGTTAATCAAAAGGGCTGTAAGATTTCCCCTAAAAATATTGCTCTCCCTACCGCCATCTCTGCTTTAAATATTTTAAGAGAGAGAGACTTAAAGTTGATTTAATGACTTGGAAGGCTTCTTCAATGCAGGAAACAACACCCCCAGCTTCACACAGCTATACTAGTACAGTCAGCTGTGTCTTATGGAAACAACCCAACAAGAGGCAAAGCCTGCAGCCCAATTAAACCTTTGATTTCTATTAAGCTTTCTAAAAAAAGATGTCAGTTCCCCTCTAACACCATGGTTCTGCACCATCAGCATTTGTCTAGCAAAATATGGGCTCATGATACTTTTAACAATTCACATTTCATGTAAGGAGAAACCTTTAAAAAGTACTACTCCTGGAAAATAAGGACTCTGATAACCTGCCCTTCCTGACAAGACAGCTGTTGTGCAACTCCCATTCCTGTGATGGCTGTGGCTTCAGACAATACCCTGCTCCTGGCAAAAGACCTCAACTCTAAGAGAAACAGAAGGGAACAGGGACATGGAGAAATGAAAGTATACCAATTAAGTCCAAATAAATGTACAACTGTTCTATAGCTCCTAAATTAGATTTGCACTTGACGCGATACTTTAGACTCTCACATGCATGCTCCACAAAACAAAGTATTTCTGCAGAAACTCGAGAAGACAAAATCAAACTGCAGCAGAAGAGGTGCAGCATTCCGCAGACTTCATAGGACTTCAGAGAAACAGACACCAAGAAAGGACATTATCATGATGGGAACATGACACCTGAGAAGTTCCACAAAGGTAAATGCAGGTATAACACTACAAAGTTCAGAACATCAGTTTCTACAAGGTGACAAAAGAAAAGGGAACAAAAAAAAAAACAACCCAAAAAAACCAACAAAACAAAACCTAAAAATTGGCAAAGGTGGGAAGAAACAACTCCAGCAATATCCCCAGCCTTACAGATTCCTATCCAACCATTAGCCCCACTTCTGAAATAAGGCTAATATTTTTCTGTTCCACAGGTAGAAAGATACATTTAAAGCTGTACAGTGCTCTAGTTAAGATAATCAGTAACTTATCTAGGCCAGCGTGCATCTTTTAGCCATTGTGCTATTTCAAATTGGAAAGAAGACGTAAGAAATGAAACACAGACTTTATGTTTTAGTACTTTACCTGCTGATATTGCTATTAAACAGGCCAAGATAATGAACAAATTATACAAAAGTAAAGCCTCATTAAACAACTTTTTAGAATAGTTTTGAGTATTTATAACTCTGCAGTACACTGTGGAGTGCACATCTGTATACATGTCCCATATTAAATAATGATGGCAGTAATTATCAGCAGTCATAAACAAGACTCTCCAGCATTTGTATCGTGGTCTGCCAACATTTCCTCTTCATTAGGCACTATTTGTAGCGTGTCCATTTTGCTTGTTACTGATTTGGTACTGAGGAAACTTACCAAAGTGAAAAAAAGGGGCAAAAAGCCCAGCACAGCAGATCTTTTTAATAGAAATACAAGTCCCTGGTGTCAGGTGCTGTGGTGTGCACAAGCACTGTTCCTAAACACTGAAATGCCTGTGCTGTTTACATAAAAGATACCACAGTCACACAGTATGATGCAATGCTGCATGTTGAGTGCTCCACAGAAAGTAAACAGTGATTCAGCTGATCAAGGAAATCACTGGCAAGAGTCCATTCTTAAGAGCAAGTATGAAACTCTTGCTCCATTTTTCAGTTTAATAATGGCACACTAGGCATAATTTGGTGGACTGTAAAGACTAGCTATGCATGCTTAATGTATCAACATTTTCCTTAGGAACTGCTTGAAGGATATTTATTTCTACTAAAATACACCATGTTCTGTCCTTCCCTACCAATTTTCAGATAAACTAATACCATTCCTACCCCATTAAATGTGAACTTAAGCATAGCGGCATGGTGATTCTGTCAAATTCATGTGTGTGTCCACTGCTATTTGTACCTTCCCATCTTCAAACTAGTTTTGGAAGAACAGTTGTTATTATATATGATTACTTCAGACTTCAGTGAGAAACTTGCTTGTATGTCCCAACAAGTATTAAAACAGTAAGTGGACACCTCCAGTCCAGCCTACCTGTAAGTGCTCTTACTAAAGCAGTACAGGCAGAAAAGTGAAAAACCGTCCAACTTAAAAACAAAAAAAAAAAAAAAAAGTATTCTGGTGAGAAAAGCTAAGATTTTTCCAAGTAAGAGCAAGATGCTTCAGAGAACAAGAGTATAGGTAAGGCAGAGCCTCAGTCTGCAAACAATACCATATATCATAAAGTTGTACTAACCAAAGCTCTGCTATTCAAGGAGCTACCTGTAAGTTATATAAGGAAAATACAATATAAGACAAGGGCTTGCTCACATTACAAAACCAGAACCTATGGTTAGCAAAGTAAAACTTCAGCTGTTTGTGTTCCATTAAATGACTCTCCAGCATTGCAGAGCACATATATTTCAGTGCTCTCAAAGAAGAAAAATTCAAGTTCCATTCTCATTTATTTATAGCTTATCGAAAACTAAGACTCCACATATTAAGATGTGCAACACTTGACTTCTCATTCTTAAAGTCAGGCCTAATATTTTGCTGAATTTGCAACGTGGCAGCTGCTCCTGCATTTTGTGGTAACACCAAAGACACTATTTTGCATACTGCGTTACATTACTTGCCTGAACAATATTTTGACTTCCAGTAATCACCCCTCAGGCATAATTAAAAATACAAATAAATTTATAATTACTAAATTTTAAATATAATTTTTTTACAGTATATTTTTTTAAATGTAGACATGCATTGCTAAACTTACTTTTTGCTTGCTTCATAAACATCCGTGATATTGGAGAAAAGGTGATGGCTCTCCGTTTTGGTCATCGTGAGGCTCAGTTCCCTGGAATTTTTAAACATCCGGATCAGAATCTCCAAGCTCAGCAAATAAGAATGCTCAGAAGATATCACTTCAAATATTGCCTGCAAAGTGGAGTGAGGAAAGAAAAGGCTTACTATGGACTAGGCTTTTCTCTTTTGGTTTCTTTTCTGTTTGTTTTGTTAAAAGAAAATGTGGAGGAGGGGTGCAAAGTAAAGTTACTGAATGTAAGATAGCAATTACAACATAAACATTCATTTCCATGATAGCTGCATTGTTTACTTAGAAATGAGTGACTTAATACAAGGGGAAAAAAATCCCACCAAAAACTTTTTAAAATAGTCTATATTCAGACATTTCAATGCAACTGCAAACAGAGTTTGAAGAAAAAAAAAAAAAAACGTAACACCAACTGCAATCATTCCCCATTCTTACTCATGAAACATGGGGTTTGCTGTTGGGTGGTTTGGTTTCAAATTAAAAATCATGTATGTTTCTGTGGTCCACCTGGAAGCTTCTCTCAGTCATACTACTGTTGACCAGCCAGTATTTGCTTTTTCAATTTTTAAACGGAAGCTGACAAGCTATTTACCTGAAAGCATCACGCATAACTGAACTCTGCCAGCATCTGCAGAGAAGCAAAATTTTCCTTCATAAAATTTAGGCTTTAGTCATCCAGAGCAGGCACCGGATAAACCAAGCTGCAGGAGCTATGTGCAGCAGGGCCAGAAGCCTGGAGGCAGAGCAGACAGGAGGGTCGGCAGCCACCATCCCCTTCAGACATTAGGGACCAGGCACCAGAGAGACACCTCCAGCAAATTCCCTCTCCTCCCACAAACAACTCTGTTCTATCACCCTACCACTTAAAGAGTGGCCATGGTAACTTTCATCAGCTGGCTGACACAAAGCAAACTTTTAATGGACTTTGAAATTCACTTACTTGTTTCTATGGAAATGCTCATCTCATGTAAAAACCTATCCAGCTTTTAGACATCTTTCCCCTCTCTAGGCTTTACGTGCTGCTGGACTAATAGAGCTCTTGTATGCACATACATGGAAAAAAAATTCCCTAAGCCCTTCTGTCAAGAGTTCCACTAAGTCATATTTGTCATCAGTGCTACCTTCCAAGCATTACTAACATAGAATTATACAATCAGCAGAGGTAGCAATATAACTTTGTTTTTAATGTAAGTAATGTTAATACTTGTATCTGTAATTTCATTAGTTATTTGCAACTAACTTCTCTAAGCATTCTCAAACCGAAGGAGAAACATGTACTTTCAATGACACAGCGCAGGTCTGAGTATTTAGAAAGGCTAATGCCCATGGCTCTACAAACAGAAAAAAAGTCTTGCAGCTTACAGTCTGGAGAAGGAGTTCACTCAGATGGTCTTATGTACATGCAATAGAGAAATCCTGCTCTTCCCTGACCACGTAAAGGCAAGGGAAACTATAGGCAGGTTGAAGGTAGCCTTCCTATTTCCAACCACCAAAAGAGACAAACCATAATAGGAAAAAAAATGCAAAACATTCTCCAAGGAACATTTGTTCATAAGATTTCTTAGAGTTCCAGCCTAGTGAATTCTGCTGGTGTTACTAAGGTAAGCTTTTAACCAAATACAATTTCTCTTGGGTATCCTGAATCTCATTGTTCCCAGGCTGTGCTTTGAAAAATATTCCTACTTTTCTAAATAGTCTTCCTCAAAGAACTGGGATCTTCATAATCAAATAACAAGTTCTGGGTTTCTTAGAACAAAACAAAATTTGCTTTAGCTGAAGCCTTAAAGGTTGAAGCAGTGCAAACATGACTGCACTCACAGAAAACCTACAAGGCCATTACAGAAACAAGCAAAGGAGGCTTAATGTATGTACTAGTAGTCTATCTTACTATCTATTTAAAAAGCTGAAGGGATCTGATGAAAGATGCAGCAACAGTTGGGTAACAGCTACAACATACTACATACTACTCTCAAAAGTCAAAACTGCTGCACAAGGTTTGCAAAGGTGATCCTTGAAACACTGTTAAACTACCTGCCAAGCTCATCAGCCTCAAGAATTTATAGAGAGCATACGCATTAACCAAACTCTGGTGGCAAACCTATCCACTGTTCAGCAAACAATGTACAGAAAGGTGCCCCAAAAGGGTATTTTGGCCTCTGCCTGGCAGTTATGTTTCCAGCCTTCAGTCTCACTGTACCTCTTTGCCAGCTGTGCTCACAAAGAAAGGATTTACCTAACAACTGCTGTAGAGTACCATGTCTAATTCGTTTCTACCCAGACATTTTTCAACACAGGCAAATATATAAGCTCTCCTATTATTGTTCTGGAGGGGTTTTATTCATGCTTTTACTGAAGACCCTCATGGGTATCTTCCCAGTTTGGTAACAGAAAGTAATTAAACAAATTCAGAACAAAGTCAGACAAAGAAAGATTCTTTGCTTCTAATGTGTAAGGAGGGAGAGTGTATCATCTTACCATGACCCAAACACATTTTGGAGAATAAAAAACGATTAAGGAACAATCTTGACTTTGACATACAGTAACTACACCACCCCAGCCTCTGAATGTGGTTGTTTACCAGGTGCTTGCTAACACTGTTTATGAATGACATCTGAAACCATTCTGTGGTTCATTTGCCTGATAGCAAAGTAAGCAGAGGTTTGAATCCTGATGGACAGGAAACACTCTCAAAAGGCCAGATGCGTACTGCAGTTTGTATACATATGGCACAGTTAAGCGTTCCCAGCTTACAATAAAACATCAAAAAAATTTCAGTTCACATCAGTCTGTATATTGTTTAGACAAAAGATGCACAGAGATCCATCTCACTAATGTGTTCTGAAAGATGGTATGTGCATGACTGTATGACACTGACATTTAATCAAGGTAATAAGCAAACATTTTTTCTGCAGTGACAATATGTTATAATGGCAAAAATAATCTAATAGGCTCTAAAAAGCAATTTAAAGACTAGATAAAGAACAACCAATAATAAGCAATTTAAAAAAATACAGCATAAGGAAAACTTGGTAGTACAACTACTTCTTCAGAGTATTTATTTAGACACCCTCTGAAAGAATAGGCCTCTAATATTCAAATAAAAAAACCCTATCAGGCTTGAAAACATTTATGATAACACTGAAGACTTTACATTTAAAAGGCATCTAAAGAACTTGTTCTCTTTGAAGGGATGTAAATATGACTCCAGGAAACATAAGCTAAACGCAGCTGAAGGATATGACTGAAATAAATGCATCATGCCTCAAAGCTTCCCAGCAGGAGGAGACAAAAGCAGGACACATGGCCTGAATTGCTGCACTGCATTTTCCCCAAGCAAAAGAAAACAGCCAAGGAAATGTAGTAACACTACGGAAGAAACAAATACCAAAACCCAAAATGAACAAACCATTGCCTAAATCCCATGTATGTGACACAAGATGTTTCTGTATTTCAGGAATGAACACAGCAGCTGTAGGTTACACAGCTAAATTAACATTTGAGGCTTGCTATACTCTAAGCTTCACAGAAAATACCCATCACATCTCACTGGGCTATATTCACCGAGGTATGTCCTGAAGCAAAATGAAGACACTGGAACAAATTACCACAGCAGGAAATGCTAGTGTTTCTATTAGAAAAAAAAAAACAACACTTGGTTTTTGTTTTGTTTTCCCTGTTAAGGACATACCTCAAGAACTGCAGGGATATAGCTGGCTAGGTCACGCTATTCTTTTCAACACCTCTCATTCATTTTGATATAGCCCCTGTAAGTAAGGAAGGAGGGTAAAGCAGATCAAGTGGACAAAAGGAGCAAAGAGAAAGAGTAAAGCTAGAGGACAAAAGGATCAAAGGAGAAAGACAGAGAGAGATAAGGTAACTACATCAGTAATTGCTGCTGTTGCCTGTACTGCTGCCAGCATGGAAGCACCTACTTCATTTCAGTGTGAAAGGAGAAAGGTTAGTTACACCAGATACACACCGTTCGCGTGTTCAGAATTGTTCACGACTTCACAGGATTAGTTACAACTAAGGTGCATTGTAAAAAGCTGTTCTTTGCTCCTCACTGCTTTTAAAAATTTATGTGCCACCTCCTACCCTCTGTGAACACCAGGTTAATTGTACACCTTCCCTGGCACAGCATGCAGCAGTGACTGCTGCTGCCCAGTAGCCATCAACTGCTGGAGTGAGCATACCTAGGAACCACTTCTCCAGCAAGACCCACAGGATGTTGGCAGGAGACCCATGGCAGGGACATATGCACATCAGCAACACACAGGTTTTGGTTATTTATTTTCCCTGGGGAGAGAAGATACTTCACTCCAGGTCAGGAAGCAGTGTGGTGAACTTGTCTCCTTATCAACAAACAAAGAGTATTAAAACAGGCATACAGTGCATCCCTAAACAATCAACCAAAATGAGTGTGTTACTTCAAAAAAGTACCTCCTGTCTTTTTCTTTCTTCCTGGCTGATCGCTTCTGATAATCCATTCTTCTTCACCTAAAAATATATATAAAAAATTAAAATTCTTAACATCTTTTGTAGCAAAATATGTGACTTAAAAAACACTCAACAGGACTACCAAAACATCATACTAATAATTCAGCTAAAGCATCTGTCCACTTCAGAAAGGGAGTAACGAACCAGCAGAAATAAGAAATTGAGTGAAAAACATCTGCCATTTGACTTATCAAAACCTAAATAATTTCATTAGAAACTATCCCACGACACAAACACAGAACTACTGCAGCAAGAACATGCACAGTCAAATCACCATCACCATGCACAGCACCCCTGGATTTTACACACACACACACACACACACACACACACACACACACACAGAAACTGCTTTCTCATTTCAAGATAATTTCCTGACTGACACACACACATCACAAGGTTTGTTTTCCAAGTCAGCCTGGTATGTCTCAGTGTATTCATTTGTTAAACACATCTAAAGGTGCAGAGACCTTTGGTGTTGGCCAAAACATTATTTCAGAGGAGCTCCAGGCTTTACTCTAAACAGACATGGAGAAGTCCTGTATTTCTATTCTCAACCCTACAATGCCTCTCCCCACTTGGCACCCTAGAGCCAAATCACCCAAGACAAGTCTGCCCCAGCTCTCCACAGACAACCATCAGGAACTACAGCCATAGCCATGTTTTCCACAGCCTGAAGCCACACGCTCAGCTACCAAATTCCACACCAGAGACCCTTGAAGTTTATTTGTTCCTGGTGCAAATCACATGCATTACGCCATTTAACAGGAAAGTATTAAAAAACAAACCAGAAAGCAAAGCGTCAAGGAAGAACTGACTACACATTTCTTAGAGGGGTGTTGAACATAGGACCCCAAAACAGTAGGATCATGCGCATACAACACACTGGACCTGAGGAGGGGAGAAAATCCACTGCACTACACATCTGAAAGATACTATTCTATTTGCAGAGTAAATGTCATGGGACATGAGACCTAGCAGATGCATATAGATTCTCTCATTTTTTTCAGTCTTCTCCAGAAGCTCCTCAAGTACTATTGTCAAGAGTGTTGTCTTCTTGCTCTACTTGTTCCCTGGAATTTTAAAGGATATATTATACCTCATTTTATTCCTGCATACCAGGCACTTGGAGAGCAGGCTCAAGAGTAAAGATGACACAACATTTAGAATTGCTGTGCTTTAGTTTGTGTGCACACCATAGCATTTACACACATGTACACACTTACAAAACCAACATAAATATTATAGAGTTTGAGCAGTTTTTCTTCTGAATAAGAGTTACAGATTCCTGTGTCACCACAAGCATACACTTCTGAACACCAAGCTAGAACTGATTAGATGCCTTTCTACTACACTCTTAAGGTACGTTTCAACCAACGACCTGAAAGGTTTAAAGCACTCACTAGGAAGTACAGTGTCACTTTTTTTCTGGATGCAGTGGAAGACTTTTCTAAAAATATGCCAACACAGGAAATACCTATGAACATATCCAAGATATTTCAATGCTTCCTGTTAATACAGCAACTGCAAATTTCCTGCGAGGTCGATGCAACAACTGCAGTATTCTGTTCAGAAAGCTGTAGCTGTGTTTCGTGATCATTATTTTGTCATACATGGGTGTGTACATGCAAAGCGCATATTAATGTACACAGTAATAAACAAATGGCTCAACCTTATATTCTTGATCAACAGCAACACTTTCAAAAAGAAAGACGCTCAAATATGGAGACTATTTTTGGCATACTCTACGAGAGAAAATTCAACTCCTACTTTGAAGTGTCCAAAATGTTTTAGCTGAAATAGCCTAAAAAAAAAAAAAAAAAAAAAATCACATTTGTGATACTGTGCAAACAAAAACTTAATACAAGCTAAAAACATAACCAGGAAGAACAGAAGAGGCCCAACACTACAGCTACAAAAAAAAAAAATCTTACTATCACACTGGACTGCTGTTTTCCAGCAATAAGTTATGACTGATTAAACCATGGAGATAAGGAGGAAAGGGTAACAGAACAACAGATTACCTCAATGGTTATGTACAATAAGTTCCTCCAGAATGAGGAGGCACTGCAGTGGGAGAATTCACCAGAAGTAATTCTTTGAGAAATATAGTTAAGGGGTTGCACCATAAACCAAACTGAACATCCACCCTTTGATATTGGGAGAGAAACAAGAGCTAACACAAAGATTTGCCATGAAGCTTCTCAACAGTAAAACAAGGTAGTTTTTGTTTGATACCACAGACAAGAGACAACCATGGAAAGGCGACACTGAGTAACCTGGTAAAGCAACTTGCAGCATGTTTCTAAATTAATGAAAAAAAAAAAAAAAATCACAACTGTGCTTGTCCCAGATGAGAGAAAGATGATCAGAAAAACAACAGATAAGATGACCAAAGCTTGGGTCAGAGAGAGAGCAGCTGAGAGAACATGCAAAATCTCAGTGCAGGGCTACATAAATACATGGAATCTACTGGGCATGAAATGGAGGACTTAATCCTAAAACACCCATTTAATATTAAATACTTTAATAATTATGAGCATTACCCAGACCATGGGATATCCGTTTCCAGTGCTAGATCTCAAGAATATTTGTAAGAATCCAGCAGCATTGACAGTAGTAATGAAAAGTGAACATATATCATTCTCCAGGCTGAATGGTAATAACCTGGAAAACCAGACATCAAAGTTAAAAGTCCACCAGTCTGATGCAGTGGTCAAACTCTGCAATGGGTTGCCCAGGGAGGCAGCGAGGTCTCCACCTGTGGAAACAGTGAAGACTACTGGACAGTCCTGGACAGCTTATTCTAAATGACCTTCCTTGAGCAGAGGCAAGAAAACTCAAGAGGTCTCTTCCAAACTAACCACTGCTGTGATTCTTTGCATGCACAATAATGCACATACTCAGTATCCACACCCACCAAATGCTGCATTTGTTGGAAAGTAAACACATTCAATATCATGCACAAGTTGGTATCACTGCCTAGGATCTGTTGGAAATTCTTCAAAAACATTGCAAGATTCTATTGGAATACATCTTGGAAATACTGGTCATGCTCCCTAAATTAAACTTTAAAATTAATAGATGAAGGTTGGAAGGAACAGAGATAGTAGATAAGGTAGCTCCTTACATAACCATCTGCTTACATATTGCTAGCTGAACTAATCTTAGATACTACTGTTTGATCTGTAATAGGAACCTAAAGAAGAGGGTTGAAGAGAGAAATGTGAAATGAACTGGGTTTAAACAGCACCTTTAAATGTCCCTTTAAAAGCTCAATCTTAGTTTCACATTTGTGCATACACTGCAGGAAGACAGAAATGCCCTTTTATTATCAAAGGATTTGACAATTCCATATAGCTGTCAAGCCTATATGGCCAAAGAAACATCCTACAGAGAGTGGATTCTTTCTCCTCTCTTTCCACTTGATTTCCTAACATAGTCACTGCTAACAAATACCATAAACATAGTATTTTCCCTCTTTCATAATATATGTTGAAACCGTTTTCCAGATGACTTGCTATTACAATTCCACATTCACTTTTTAATACACATTGACAATGCATAGATTTTTCAGAGTTATAAACCCAGATACAATGAGATTCAGATTCCCGTATTTTGTTTTCACAGTGCACTCCCTTTTCCCATATACTCCTCACTTTCAATCTTGTAAATCAAGTAAAGACAATGAGGAAGTTTCCTGTGCTAGAAATCACAAAGACACAAGTTGGTTTATATAACCGTGAGCATGGTACAGGAAGGTTCTCTTACTGAAATGATCTTTATATTATTTTGGTCTTATGATAAATTAATGGTTTTGAAATTATTATTGTTACTGAATAGCATTCCTTCCAAAATACTTCAGCTGATGAACATAACTGCTAGCTTGCCTAGGAGGTAGAAAAAAAGCCCCAACCTAGTTGACGTCATTATAAACAAACATTTTACAATATTAAGCACATTTTTTTTCATTAAGCACATCGTTTCAAAACCACATTCTTATGCTTTCTTTATAATTACTGAAAGAGAGGGATTCATATTTCAATATCTTAAACTGCAAAAGGTCGTCAACATCTCTAAGACAGCTCTTCTAGACAATGTAAATAGCCTTAGAAGATTTTGCTGAGCCTCAGTAACTAATTTATATAGGATACATATAGCCAATGACCCTAGCGGTCAAGTATCCTAGGTGATCATGCCACATAATAATCTTTCTTATACCACATACAAAGATGAGGTTCTACATAATGATACAAATTACATAAACAAAACCCAACAAAAATCCCAAATGCTTCATTTTAGGGATATCCATCCAGAAGCCACAGAAATGATCAAAGGATAAAATTAACCACAGAAACAGGTTTTTTTTTTAGTTTCTTACATCTCAAAATCATGCATACAATGAAAACCTGTAAAGTATTAACTAGCATCATTAATTTGCCATCTTATTAGGAGGGAACCTAGCAAGTTTACTGTACTGATTGAAACAGCAAATTCTACTTTGTTTAACAATGCTGCTAAGAAAAATCCACTGCAGATCCTTCACAGACTCTGCTAAGTATAGTAGAATACCACCATCTAAAATGGTTTCCTTTAAATATATCCTGTCAAACCAACTTGAAGGAGGCTTACAGCTATTCAGAAAAATTTGGCAGAAACTTGCTTGTAACTAACTGAAGCTTTTCTTTAGTATAATTCACCCTTTTAGTGAATTCACACAGGCACTCCCCCCGCTTAACGGATCAGTAAAGTTGTGTCCTTGCCAAATACAGGACCCTAAAATTAACTCTCTCAATTGCACAGAAACAAAGACCAGTAATTGATCAGGACTTCCATGTTGTCTTTACAAAAAGAAAACTAAAGTTTAGCAATTAAAAAAAATGAACAGGACTAAGTCCCGATTAAAGTTTGGTCTGCACAGCTCCAATTCACTGAAAGCAAACTATGAAGAACAACAAAGGAACTACGCAGATTTCACTTCGAGTTCACACACTGTGAGGATGTAAAATGGTCTTTTTGAGCTTTCTGACCATAGGTCATTTAGAACAGCCAGACGCATCATCATGCATGACTGTGAACCATAACTCTCCTAAGGACCTGCAGCAGTATGGCCAACACTGCCACATTTGCAATTGTGTTCAAGAGACATACTTCTTTTTTCTTTTTAAACTCTGCTGGACAAAAAAAAAGAAACAACAAAAAAAAATAAAAATCAGCATCTTAAAAGTGTAAAAATATTAAGTACTAATTCCTTTACATTTCGAACTTGTATTTAATTTCATCTTAAAACTATACTGAGGTTTTTTCTTGGTAATTTCAATCACATACTCCAACCACTCTGTGGTGTGGCCACAGAAGCCGACAAACACCTATACTAGAAAAAGGAAGGTGTCAGGTAACCAAAGAAACTGATTCTGGCAGGAGCATCAGTCTATACCTACTAGCATTGACTGCTAAAACATGATTTATGCTTTCCTTAAGCTTTTGGAGTTACCTTATATAAAACCTAGACAAAAGCTAAATTGAGACCTCTGGATTTGGATTAATAACATCTCAATAGCTGTAAAGTTGTTGGAGGAAAAAAAAAAATAAGTATTCAGAGACATCTTATATTTTGGAACAGAAAAGGTGACAAACTTCATCCAAAAACTCCAGTACCAAGTAAAGAGACTTGCTTCAACAGATTGTTAGATACTCCGTCTTTGTCTGGCTATGTGATGACCAAATACTTACAACAGACAGTTGACTCCATGTTGATCTCAGGGGCTTACAGTGAAAAACAATCTTTTCATCTGATTTCTGCTCTCGAGGCTCAGACTCTTCATCAGAATCTATGTCCAAAGCTTTTTCTTTATAGTTCTGATATAATACAGCATCTTCTATAAAACAACACCAATATGCCATTAATTGCTAGAAAGTTAGCTTAGTTGTTTTCATAAAAACTGTAAGTTAACATCTAAACAATGAAAGAAACCAAAATGTCAATGTGCCGTTCACAAACTCCACAAGACAAAGATAGCATCTTATTTAGGATGGACAATGGTGCAGCACAGTAACAATGGATCACTGTACCGCTACCAAAAAGATCCACACTGACTGAATTAAAAAACAGATGCATCCTTTGTCAAGAAAAAGCAGAAAACAATTTTTTCTTCCTTGGTTTGCTGTACAATGTCTCATAATTAGCCAGCAATTTAAGAATGGAACAAGCATGTCAGTAGAACAGAGTCATTAATCTGGAGGTCTAGCTATTTTCATCTACCAGACCATTGTAAATCCACTATCCATACCAACTTTGTCAGCTTTAAATTACCATCTTTGCATTTCACTAAAAGAAGGTAATGATCCAAATTTCAGCAATCTGAGGTCAAGTTATTCCAAACAGAAACTCCCAAGCTTGCTTGGGTAAGCAGGAGGCCTATGAACCTTGAGGTAAAATACATTCATTATGTATTTCAGTATTAATTTGGTATTAATATTAATTCAGTAATATCAATGGCAAAGAAATGCAGGTGTGGAGCATAACTTTTCCATTTCCCAACCTCCTTACCACACACCCTTTTTAAAAGCAGTCAGAAAAGGACAGAGAAATTTGAGGCCAAAATAACAAAGAAGGATTAAGTGCTAAGAAAGCAAACTCTAAACGGTAGTGCAGAGACAGGCCAGGATTTGGACAATAGCTAATCTTCCCCTACAAGAGAAAGGAGCAAAAGGTGTAGCTGCTCCATGCACAGCTGCAGCTCCTGAGGTCTCACACCAAGCTGGCTGGATCTGTTTCACCTGCTCAGACCATATAGCTGTGGCTAAATCTTACACAAGGTCTGGCCTTTTGTATTTGTTCTTTGGAACGTGGCTGTATAGTTTATACACTTTTAAGTCAGGAAATTGTGTACAGCAACTGAATTCTGAGAGGCATTACAGAGAAAGTTATTAGTTGGGATCAGTCCAAGGTAGAAGGAAGCCACTGGAAGATAACGTAGAAAGCATCATCAGGAGATAGCGTTAGAAAGCTGAAAGTAAGACAGGGTGATGCAGAGAGGATAAAGTGGAATTTTTTTGAATAGAAACAAGAAGAAAAGGAAGGCAACACAGCAGCTGAGATGACCTTAAGGAGGCATCTAGCAAATAAAAGCCAAGAAAGTAGCAGTTGTTACAATGAAACTGCCATGGACTCATAGCCAGGAAAGATTTTTTTTTCGTGTCAAAATACTGGGAAAAGCAGCAAACTTGGCAAAGCCTGGAACTAATGAGTAACATAAAAAAGCAGATACACAGACAGCATTCTTCTGACGAATTTGACACTTGTAGCAAGAGTATTAGGAAGTCAAAGAATTCACTCCAGCACCCTTGCCTTACAAGGAAAAGAGTGAAATAGCTGCATGAACCATAAACTCAAGGAGCAACAATTCAGGCACCTGCTGCAGGTGTTTACCCCAAACCCATTAGCTGATGCACAAAAGTTGCATCTTGCACCTGGGAGGAGACACCAGGAACAGGCAGGAAGGCAGTGCCAAACGGAGGAAGAATAAGCCTCATCCATGTAATTCTAAAGAACTGTCAGAGCTGATATGGACACATTGGTCAGTTTATCTTCTAGGAGGGACAGGAGTTTGAATGCAAAAGAAGCTTCTAAACCCCAATTTTTAGCCTGCCATTCTGTATTCTTTAAAATAGTCTCTAAAGTATGTCTAGAACCAAAGTTACAGTTCCGTATTCTAGCCAGTTTACTGTAAAACAAGGTACTTAGCCTTTGACTACATACGAAAGTGCGCAAAATGATCCTGAAGTTCATTTCTCATGACTGAGCATATTATCAAGTCTGTACAGAAAAGGACTTACCTTCTCCATCAAACGTTCCTTGTCCTTTCAGCACTTTCTTCTGACGATTTTAACATGAAAGAGATAAATACACATTAAAAGAAGAATGCAAAAATAACCAACAGTACCAAGAGCTTCTGTTTTATTTGATACTTAGGCACCAAATTGACAGACCCTAATCTATAAACTTCTGGAGCTGGACACGTATTCATGAAAATGATTGTTTCCACACAAAAGGTGAAAAGGTGCTCTGGTTTTCCTTCTCTTGTGCGCTTTTTATACGTATTTGTCCCAAATGCTTCATTTTCCTACGCTTCAAAAGCGTAGTATACTACTAGCTTTACAAGAATTCAATGAACTCTCAACTTGTCCCCTGTCACTGGGCCTTTCCTATGAGGACATAAGGTGCAGGACTGAGCAGCTGCCACTTCCCACACACTCTACAAATAACAGCCACATCAAATATTCTGTAAACTAATGATAAGACTAAAGAAACCCCTGAAATAAAACAGCTCTTTTGGTGCAACAAGTCTTATGGTCTAAGAGGTCTATTTAAAGAAAATATTATCAGCAAAAAGAGTTTAGGGTGTAAGGACAGGACAACATCATGTCCTCCTATTTTAAATACAACTTACTGTTACAAATCTGTTACCAAACCAAAACAAACCACCTCCCTATGCTGTAGGAGTTCACAATTTAATCAGTTACTATTTCACCACTTGTAGCATTTTCACAAACCATAATTTTTAATTTCACTGAAAATTGTCATAGAGCTGATAATTATTTCAATAGCTACAGCATTAGCCCGTCAGCCTGGAGTACTTCATTACACAATTAAAAACTGTGCAGAATGTAACAAATACATTTTTAAAGTAACAAACTGTATTTAAAAAAGAAGGAATAGAAGATTACTATATTGTATGTTCAAGTAAAAAGATTTTCAGGAAGTCTTTACAATTTGAAAATGCTAACATTAAATATAGATCTACTACTCCTGAGGGATTACAACCAAAAACTATAAACAGACATTCAGCTTTTACTTGCAGGCATTAAAACTATAAAAAGATACCTGAAGTGGTCCCTACCAATTAAAAACCAAAACAAACAAAAAGAAACCCCACAAAAAAAAAAAAAAACAAAATACAAACCCTCACTCTGATTTTTAAAAATATTTTAAAAGTAATGTCTCAGACAGAGGAGTAGGGGAGGATGCTACTACTTTAGCAGACTTCGTGTCTTTATTATGTTGGGTTTTTTTTTCCGGTTTTATTATTACTTTCTGGAAAACAGGTTTTAAAACATCATCTTGATTGTGAAAGAAAACCTCAACGTGCTGGGGAATCCAGCAAGAAACGCAGCATGAGACTACCATTAACACAGTTTGGAACTGCCCAGATTTCCACAGTAATCATGTCCCTGAAGCCTCTGCCACTTTACTCTGAAAGCAACACTTGGAAGCGACCTGTGAGACTCATCCATATAAAGTTCGGAGGTAGCAAAAAGAAAACTGAACACCCCTCCCACCCCCCCCCCCCCCCCCCAGCATTTACAGACAAGAGAGACTGCAAATTACACTCCAGTGTAGCCTACACTACTCGAATCCCCATGCCACTGATCAACACAACTTACCTTTATCCTCCCCAGGCTCGAAAATTTCTCCTTATCTTCAACAACTGCTTTAAGTATGGGCTGTGACATCCTGTTCTTTTTCTTAAAATTATTAGAGCTGTCAATGTCCACGCCGCTTACCACCGCTCTGCGGTAGGATGTTGATCTCAGGCCGCGACGCAGGGTCCCTGGACTCTCCAAGTCACCCTCAGCCTCTTCCTCAGCGTCGGCCACCAAAGGCACGCTGAGGCTCTCCACCATGCTGCGGACCTTCAGCACTCTCTTGCTCATGTCCTCATTCTGGCTGTTGGCTTTACTCGTTACCTTTATTTCGGAAGCCAAACTCTTAGGAATGATCTGCTGCGTGCCTACTTTGAGAGCGGCGGGGCTGTTGGTGCTCAGGATGGCAGGCTGATCCCGAGGGGATGCAGGCCTCTGAGGAGGAGCTCCTTGCTCTGGGGAAATCGCCTGCGAAACCGGCGGTACTTTCTCTGGCATTTTGGAAACCCGGCTGTATTGCAAGGGCCGCGCTGCCGCGTTGCTGTTACTAGGGCAAGACGTGTTTCCAATAGGTGAGAGCTGAGGGCTGCCCGTGAAAACAATCCGCTCTCGCTGTGGTGAAAGTGCTGACTGACTGGAAATCCTGAGGGGCCGACCCAGCTGGCTTCCCGGTGAGGTAATGGTGCCGTTGGCAGTAACACCGACAGAACTGTTGGAGACCATAGGGATCACCTGGGAGGACCGCTCAGGGGAGATCGCTTGACGGGCTGGAGGCCGCACCGTCCCGTTGGACACCGATCCCATGCTGGAGCTGAAAAACAAGGGGCTCCTCCGCAACGCTCTGCTGCCTAGGCAGGTGCCGATGGTGCCGGAAGGCTGAGTTACGGTGAAGGTGCACCTGTCCTCCACGGGAAAGTCGGTGAAAAGCACCCCGTTGGGGCTCTGGTACGACTGGGGCCGGGGCTTGTTCCAGGCACGGGACTGCGGCCGGGGGGTCGACCTCCTTTTCCAGCGCGGCGCCGCCTTGTCGCTTGAGAGATCCGCTTCGCCCTCCCCATCCATCGTCCGCTCCTTGGGGCCGCCGCGACCTCAGGGCGGCGGCAGCACCTCCCGCCAGCCACCACCGCTCCCTGCAGTTCGGCGAAGGGGAAGCAAGCGGCACCTCTCAGGCCGCGACAGCCCCGCCGGCGCGGCGGGCGCCGGGCCGCGGGGGAGGGGAGGGGCAGGGCAGAGCAGAGACACCCCCGGATCGTACTCACTCCGCGCTTCCCGCCGACAGGCGCTGATCCCACAGTGAAGAGCCCGCGCTGAACCGCCGGGTAGGGGAGGGCCAGTTCCCAGTCTGCCCGCCGGCCCAGGGCCTCACCTCATGGCAGCTCCCCGCGGGGATGGGGGGACACGGCCACCTCCCCGCCCCACCTGCGACGCGCGGCCTTTTCGTATCCTTCCGTCAGCCACTGTGGCTGCAGCTACAGCGGCGCTGTGCCCGGCTGGCCCCGCCGCCGGGCCCCTCCCCTGCCTGCAAAGCGCGGGCCAGCTCCGGGACGCGCAGGTAACAGCGGCAGGAGGGGTCAGGCTTCCGCCGGAGCCCGACTGGGCCTCAGTGAACCGTAACCCCGGCAAAGCCCTTAAGGCGCGGCTGGCCGCACAGCGCGGTCTCGGAAGAGGCCGGGGCCGGCAGCAGTAATTAGCGTCACACCTCGCCAACAGCTGAAGTAGTTACCACAGCGTTACCGTACACTCAGGTGCAGCACGGGCAGGAGCGGCATCTAGACCAGTTCTGGTAGATGGAGAAGCACACCAGCCTGCAGTGTACAGAGCCCCTCTCCAACTCATACGGACAGCCTCGGACGGGCTTCTCGCTGGAAGAATGCACAAGTACCTCTACACAGGGAAAATGTTTGATTTTATCCTTGACAGATATGCCTGTGTGCAACCATGTGATCCCCGAGTGCCAACCTGGGCAGAGGCTGGCACATTCTTGCTGCCCCTACGCTTGCTCATTAATGAGAGAAAGCATTGGACTCGGCCAGCTGGGGCTGGCTCACTGCTAAAGAAGCACTGGAGAAAAGCTGGGAGGAGTAGCTTTTCAGTAAGAGAACAGGACATAAGCATGTGTCTGTAAAACTAGTAAAACTTAACTGTAACTTTGGTACATAACTTAAATGTAGATAAAAAGATAACAGTAGGTTTTAAAAAGCAAAACAAAACACATGACTCACATTTTGGTGCCGGCACGGGGGGGTTCTGCTTTCCACTTTCTTCTGCCAAGGCCACCACTGCCAGGAGGGGAGAGCCTTGCAGCATGGGCCCTGAAATAAGTACACGAACACTTCTGTTCTAACTACACATCTAGTAACAATGACAACATGGCCTTGTTCCACTATCTTCCTCTCCGCAGTCAAAACTTGTGTCTACTTCTGTTGAAAAAAAAATATATTATCCCTATGTTTTAAAAGCCACGTTATCACATTATGTGGAACATTAAGCATGGGTTATTATTTAGCTCCACTATTAAATGTCACATTGGATATGAATATAAAATAAAACTTAGAATGCTTTCCTAGTACTGAATCATAAAACTTGATTATTTGTCAGGCTTCCCTCAGGTGGATGACAGATCACCTCTGGGTGTGATTTCTGTTTCCATGTAATGTATCTGATGCAGATCAGTAGAACAGGAACACCTTGAATACTTCAAGATGCTCAGTCCAGGCTTGACATTCACAGCCTAGGACACTCTGCAATCCAGAGGCTTGGAGATGGGACAATAAGGCACCGAAGGACATGTGGCACATACCTATTCCTTTAATCTTAGCCTTCATTCTCAAGTTTTCTGTCACCTGAATTAGTGGTGAAACATTCAGGTCGTTTACATCTGAGAGACTTTTAGGAAATGGCTGAGCAGCTGGGAGCAGCAAAACCTTTGTTAGGCTGAACATGTTTCCTCACACCTGGCTGAGACTGAGAAAGCAGTCTGCTTTCATTCTCTGCAAGATACAAGCTTGATCTCTCCACAGACTTCTGCTAACAAAGAATAATACAAAAAGCTTTGATGTCAAGACTAGGCCAGCAGCCCAGTATGGCAGAGCCCACCACCCAGCAGCTGCCTGAAGGGCTTAGGGCTGGCGACCAGCTGGGGGGTGCAGAAGAGATTTTTTGGGGGTGCAGAGCTAGTCCTGCGCTATGCATATGAGACGGGTGGTTTCTGAATGCGCAATGAGAGCTCTGTTCTCAGGGCAGAAGCAGCACATGGATTTAAGAAACTGTTCAAGTTGTCGTGGTTGGCAGAAGCAGCAGGGTGGTTTGTTATCCTGAGAGTGTATTTAACCAAGAAACCCCACTGCATTTGTACCTGGCAGATGCCAAATCTTGAACTGATACTTAGGAAATTTAAAAGCTGAGGTGATGATTGTGTTTGTTACAAGAAAATAATTTAATTAGAGAAGGAGGGAGATCTAAAGAGAAGGGCTATCGTCAGACTTGCTGGCAAATGGCATTGCCAAGGCTATCTAACTGATCCCCCCCAAACATGCCTGAGTACAGAATCACAGGAGAAAGGACCAGGGTAGCCTCAATGGGCTATAATTCACTCTGGTGCATCAACACATGCCTAACTTCAAGAGTTCAAATTTTACATCTCAAGTTCAAAAAAATAACTTGCTTATTTAAGTATGGGCTCATGCTTAAGCTCCTGACTAAAAAAAAATTGTTAGATTTTTAGTTGTTGCCTCCAGACTTGCAAGAGTTCATGTATCAATGAACTAGAAAAAATAGATTAAAAGTGCTCTATTATCTTTTTTAAGATATTAAAAACTGCTTATACTAAGCCTGTTTAATAGGTAGTAAACAGAAAAAAATACAGAAGAAAACGGAACAGCCAACCACATGTATGTGCACATGAAGTTCAAATATGTTAATTCTTCTCCCAGAGTAATCCTGGAAAACCACACATAGTACTAAGAATAAAACTAAGCAAAGCACAGTGAAAGTAAAATTTGACAAATTCTTATGTCTCACAAATGAGACAGATTGCCACATCAGCTTCAAATAGGAAGGCATACAAGGAGCAGCCACAGGCATAACCCAAACTGCTAGTTCAGTTGTCACCTAGGGTTTCACAGCCTCAGGCATTAATTATAAGGAAAATTCACACATGGGAGTATTTCTAAAATTATCTCTCGACTTTCTACATTAAATTCCCAGGGAATTTGATATAGTTGCAGCATATTACTTAACTCATAAATCCTAATTATTAATAACTGAGACAATCAGCTTTTACAAGATTATTCTCTTACACATACTTATTAACTATGATGCAAGAATAATTTTTGTTTAACAGCCACCTCAGTGTTTGAGTTTGTACACAGTAAAAAGGAAATAAACCCCTTACAATAAAATTGCCATAATGAGAAAAGTAAAATCGACTATATAATTTAAGAGAATAAGGACATTTAAACATAGTTATTAACGCCTTGTACAAAGCAAGGTCTTGGTGTAAGACCACTGAGGTGCTTTTCTAGAAGTGAAAAAACCTGAAATGAACTAAGTACCAGCAGGGAGAGCATCTTTCCCTGGGCTCCATTACAGATAAAGTGCAGTTGCTTGCCAAAGGTAAAACCTGGCCCCCAACACAGCCCAGTATATAGAGGGAAGAAACCTGCCAGCAAAGCTTTCAGCCACGTTGTCACAGCAAACAGGTTAATCCAGTTAATGACCGTGAACGTTCACTAGTGAACATTTTACATCAGTTCACCATTTCTGAGCTAGTACAAAACACCTAAAAGCTGGCATTATGAATGTGCACCAAACCAGAAAGCATTTCTATACCTGCTTGCCACCCAGCATTCTATGATGTCCAGAAGACCATGATTATCACAACCAATAGGAGACAAATACAGATTAGAAGACATGTACAGACATTTTCAGTGGTGAATTTTGTTATTCCCTGAAAATCTGCCAAGGAAGATGGAGGACTGTTCATCTTTCCCCCCCCACCCAAATCAAGAGTCAATCAAAATCCTCCCTGTGAAATCTGACAGAGAATGCATTAGTTGGACTCTGAGTTTATGAATTAATGTGCTTCACAGTCCCAAATGCAGTGCTCCCTTTATGTGTCCTGTAGAATAATTTTTAATAGATAACAGTGTAATCAGTATTATACTCTACACTTTTCAGGTATATTAAATATACCATTGTCTTCTCTCCAACTCAGTACAGCAGAATTATATCTTGTCACTCAGATACAGGTGAGAGATTCTCCCAAGAAAACAAGCCAACAAGTCATAATAAGATAAAACATAGCTTTGGAAAGGTTACAAGTTTCAGTATATGATTTTTTCTAAGATTGTAATGTAAAAACCAAATTAAAATGATCATGCAGTAACTTACAGGAGATCTGTAAAAACTCAAGAGCTTGGGCTGTGCTTTCTGGCAAACAAGAGAAAAAAGAGAAAAATACCAGTACACTTCGTATGTTTCATTTCAAAACCATTTAAATTCTGTCATCAGCCTCAGGGCTCTCTCTCTACTGTGTGCAGGGATACAGCTTTTCAACCTTGCAAGTACCTGAAGATGTTCAGAAAGCACCTGTAATTTGGTGGTTTTAAATAATTTGATTTAGTCTGTTTGCTGTATCAGTGACGTGAAATCCATACAATCCGTACACTTATCAGTCCTCTTCACCTCCCAGTCGGTTTTAGGGTGGGGTAAGCAAGAACCTGTGGAGTGGAAACTGCAGCAGAAAGAGTTCCCATGCATGTAATGTGGGTTGCATTACTCTGGAAACCCTTCCCAAAACTGGGTCCCAAACCAGCCATGACCCTGAAGGTGAGCCTTGCTGCTGTCTGGGGTCCTCAACTCTTTTGCTGTAGGCGCCTCTTGCAATTGGTGTTTTCATCTGTCTCTTCTGTGCCTGCAAGCAGTGGTGAAGGGGATGAAAGAGCTCCAAGGAAGTGCCTAGCTGTTGTTTAATACGCAATGAAATCACCTGTATGTCCCATCTGCATTAACTGGCAGCTAAGCTATGAAATATAAGATGCCCCTGCTTATGTCAGGGGGACTGAAACTAGATTTTAAGGTCCTTTCCAACCCTAATCATTCTATGATTAATATAAATAACATCCTTTTTAAGCTCTTCATGCTCTTCGTGACTTTGGGCAGCCTGTTTGCAGTCAGCTGAAAAAGAGCCAGAAGTACCCAGAAGATTAGTCTCCAAGTTATGAGCAAGTCTCCAGCTCATAATTAGCATGCATAATAAAGGAATAGGACTCTTACTGTCTCACAAAACCCTACCACAACAACAGGAGAGACAGAAGTCACCACAAACTGAAGAAAAGATGAGATTCAAGTGTGACAGAGCCAGATCACTGGTGAAAAACTTCTGTTACTGGTTTCTGCATTCCAGCAGAGATGCGAACTGAAAGGGAGTGGAGTTTCTTGCCAATGAGAGCACCAGATTTTTACTGAGGAG